AAGAATGGGGAAGGTAGCACTAGAGCTTTCAAGTATGGGCTCAAGCGTTCTAGTCTCAGGTGGACAAGTTCGGCAAGAAGCAGTGCCGCGTTCAGGTTGCCTTCAAGCACCTTGGCAAGCTGGCGAACGAAGTCAACCGAATCGCAGGTGTTTCATTGGTTTCCGCGTCGGCCTTGTTTTAGCAAAGATGCAACCATTTGTTTTGGTCCTAAGCTCCTTTGCTTAGGACACATGATTGCCGTGTTCCTCAGATTTGCTTGCTTGCTGTTGTGGCTTCTGTGCGTTTTCCTACCATCCATGTCCAGCAGTCTTATGCAACCTACTTGCCTTTACACGTCAATGCCATGCTTGCTTCCGTCGTTTCAATGGCATTCTTACTATGTGTGTACTTCTTCTATTCTTTTTGGCCATGTGCTCCCCTCCTCATCAATCCTCCTCGCTTCCTCATTTGGTGCACTTCCTGCGCTTTGTTGTCCCTCTTCTTGCTTGTGTCATACACACACCCATACACACTCACTCACACTCAACTCGCGATTCCTCTTGGTACTTGTACGTCTTTCTGCTTTTTGGCCTTTGTGACAGCTTGCCGTGGAATGAAGCACGCCTTCAATCTGTGGAGATGCTTTTGACGGGTCGCCTGAAAGCTCAGAGGATGTTCTTCCAGGAGATCTATGACTTCGAGCTCACGATGCCAGCGCCGTGGCTAAGAAGAGCCTTGAGTTGAACCCCTTTCGTCTCACAAATAGGTCCCCCCCAAGTTTGAGACGAAGCTTCAAATTCACAGCTTGTTGGATTTGAAGCCAACTTGTGGCTTGGAGGACCTGCCTGACTTGATGACTGGGATCGGTGACTTCTAGCCTGGGAACGATGATCCCTTTTTTTTCCTCTTTGTTTCTCCGTGTTTCTGCACATGTCCTCCATGCGGAAGATGTTCACAAGGCGACCGATTCCGAGGCTCCGATGACCCAGGGACGGTTGTCCTTTCCCTATGATCCACGTCAGAACCTGTGTGTGAAAAGAGCATGTCAGGTGCCCGAGGCAAAGCAAGCCCAACTTCAGAGTGGCAGGGTGACAGTATCTAACATTTGAAGACACGCACTTGGATTATTCTTCATCTTCAAGAAAACACATTTGGCTGTGTCAACCAAAAAGCATCCTGTGTCACACCCAAAACCAGTTGGCATTGTCAACACCCTAAGCCATTTGGACGTGTCGACACTTCAACCCCCTTCCGCTTTTTTCCTTTTGGCCGCCCATTCTCCGAAATTTTCCATGAAACAACGCCACCGGCCAGGTGCGTTGTCCGGGTGAGTTGGCCTCTTTTTGCTCAACAAAAACACAAGCCCCGGGCCAGGGCTGCGTAAGTTTTCGGTAAAAAAAGCGCCGCGGGTCCCCCGAGGTGTGGCGCGCCAGCGCCGTGCCCAGCTGCAAACGAGTGCTGGAGCGGCTCAGGCCGGCGTGAGCGCGGTAGAGGACGGCTGGGTTTTTGAGCCACGTCCTTGGTTCGGGCAGCTTTTAAAACGACGTGGATTTCGATGGTTTCAATGGAAATCCACGAAATGGATTGAGCAACTTTGGATTTGGGGAAATCCGAACGTGAGCTCTGTAGGAAAGGATGGCAGGTTCTGTTCCAGTCTGTGATCAGGTGAGGCGTACACATGATCGCAAGCTCGAACAAGTTCTTCTTTTTTTTGAGGCGACATGACTGGACATGTTTGGTTTCGGGGTTTGGAAGGGTGTGGCCGGCTAATCTCCAAGAAGTAGGCTGCTGTCCGCGATCCTTGAAATTTTTCGCCCCTCATGTCCAGGGTAAGGGGACTGATCACGGTGCCCTCCCAAGGAGAGAGATGGTATCATTTGCACTCAACACCGGCGTGTCAGGAAGTCGCGGGAACGAAGGAACTCAGCATTTGAAGCTTCTGTTGCTTTTGAAACTATGGCATCGGTGAAACTTGCTGAGAGTGCTTTGCATCTGACTTCGCGCAGGGATGGCATTGACGAGGAAGAAGACGAGGAGCAGACGATGGCCGCGCCTTGCTTTCCAATGAGTTCAGGCGGCATCGACTTCCATGGTGGACAATCGGAACACAATCAATGGTTGACTGAAAACATGGGGGCCTCTTGTTTCGGCAACGGGCCATTTTGACTTTGGGGCTTGCATGATCTGCCAGCCTTGACTCATGGACTACTGGAAAGATCATTGGCCCTTGGGCATGATTTGAGAAGCGTTTTCTCGCACAGGCAGGGGATGGTTCGGTCTCAGGCGCCTTTCCTTCACGGGGCTTGAGATTTGGACTGCCACTCATTTGGCTGCAGCCCCTGCGAGCCCCCAAAGCACAGAAGCCACCGATCCGGAAGGCTCCAAGTTCAAATATTGGGAGCTGGGGTACCTGGTGAGCTTCGGACCAGGGCCAATTTTGTGGGAACAGGCTGCGTGCGTTTTTGCATCGCTGAAGCTTGGTGACCCAAGCACAAGGGAGGATAGTAGAACTAGGACCTTTCATATGGAACACTGCGCCATGTCAACGGAATTGAAGCTAGCAGTGCATACATACCTTTCTGGACCAACACGATGAGGAGAAACCGATACAGCTGACAGCCATGGAAGCACGAATTGTCCGAATGCCTGTGATACAGACAAGCCAATCCGGGATCAAGGTTTCACTGCTGAGTAGCCTGTGTCAAGCGCAGAAGGACGGATCAAATCAGGCACTTGTGGCAAACCGAGGTTCCGGAGTGGGAAGCTTACTCAATCCGATCGTCCGATACTCAAACCACGCAAAGTCCAACCAATTGCTCAGCACCATCGCGACTTTGACTTTCAATCTGCCACCAGCGCTTCGTTCCTGTGACCAGCGTCCTGTTCCAGCTTTACCGGGTTCCTCTTCCGGATGAACCTGCACGTGAGACACGCGAAATGAGTCCGTGCGCCACTGCCTGTGGCCTGCTCTTCCTGTACAGTAAGTGATGCGCCTGTGACTATGTGAGCAACTAAGAGCATTCGTAATTACTCGGAGCCCCAGAACATGGCCAAGCCGAATTGGAGAAAAAATGAAAACCAACCGATACAAGATCATATGCTTCCAAGGGTTGTCCTTTTCAAATAATGGCTTGTGTTTTACATCTGTATCAGCCCCAATGAAATCACCAAGCCATAACATACAAGTGACAAAGAGAAGGACCAGAGAGGCAGAGAGAGACAACGAAGGGGTAAGGGAGCAAAGTGGTCATAGGAACCCTTATCCGCATTCATTTGTTAAACTTTGCAGGCAAGTCTTGCAACCATGAATTTCAATAGGACACCCCTGCAAAGTGGTTGGTGGAGATGCATCCCCTCCGAATGCTGATGTCCACCAAAGCATCCTCTATTGCAAATCATACCCATAACCGAAGCCATTTTGGGGTGTTCCAACCTATGTTGCAGAAGCAGCCATATTGGGGAGCCCTCAAATATGTGTGCACTTGAACACCATCCCAAAAAGGTCACCAACTCAAACTCACCCAGCCAGTGACACACTTTGCACTTTTTTCGTTGGTGGCTCTCCCTTTTTACTAGTGGCCCAAAAAGTGTACACTTTTTTTTGGCTCATCACTGGCCAAGTGAGCAAAAAGGACGAGCCGCATCTTCCCGTTGCCCGTTCCCAGGGCGGGAGGGGCACCATGGCGCGCAGCACGCGGGCGGCCACGCAAATGCAGCGGGCCGCTCAACCGAAACCGTCGGAATTTCATCACATAGTTAGTTGTTTTTCTTTTTTTTCTTCTTCTTTTTTTTTCTTCTTTTGTTCTCTCCGTTTTCTTCTTCTTCTTCTTTTTTATTTTGTTTTTCTATTGTATTTGTTTTTGCAAACAGATTAGTCTAAGGCTAGCCTTTTGGGGTTGGACAGGGACACCCCAAACCACATATTTTGGGGGTGGTCATTTTTTTTGAGACAAGGTTTGCGAAAAGTAGGGGCCTCTTTTTGATATCTCCTGAAAAAGGCGGCACAAGGCGGCACCAGGTCCCAAAAAGGGTCCATATTTTTGACACCCGATTTGGAGTCTTTCTGGAAACCAAACGGCTCACTCGGTTTCCTGAAGAACACGAGCTTCCGTTTCCATTGATTTAGACTGGGTTTCGGCTAAACGGACATCTATGATGTGGGCTTGCCATTCGGAGCTTTCAGCTTCTTGGCTTCCAAAAGAAAAAGAAAAAAAACAGAAACGCACAAACCACACTTGGACCATTCGTGCAGTTCACGCAGCTCATACTTTCGAGCATGAGCTAGATGTTGCAAGCAAGAACCAGTGAAGCCCTTTTCTTTGGGTGGGAGGATAGCAAACTATTCACAGCAGGGAAAACACCAAAACTTACTATGATCATGTGTGGTTTGTCAGGCAATGTCGGTGACCTCTGACGACCTCACCCAGCAATCGTACCTCGGCGCATTGGGGTCAGTCGGGTGTGGGGACGACTCCTTCTGAAGGTCAGTTTCATGGTTGTTTCCTTTGAACGCGGCATGATGTTGTCCTTCTTGTTGACATGGTGTTGTTCTCCCTTTTTGTGACACACACACACACATTTCTTGACCGCATACACGCAAACCTATGCTTCATCTAAGGGAAGCCTTCGTGCCTCTTTGTGGGAAGATCATCTTTTGTGGCGACTGGCCGCTTCGCCCAGTCTTGCACCCCGTTTCTTTGGGCTGCACCCCTTTGCAGTTGGTGTCAAAGGGAAGCCAGCAAGAAACACCAGTGGGCGCCACATGGGACAGTGCTGTGCGGGGTGTGCGGGGCACAAATGGGAGAAATTGAGCTCCAGGATGCCAGTACGTGCAGAACCAGGTCTTTGCAAAAAACAAAACGCAGAGCCGCAGAGCGACGTGGTTTTCCCAGCATTCATGTCAGAGTCCCACAGGGTCATTTGCCTAGAAGACTGTTCAATTGTTGCCTTCCTGTCCAAGGTAGGGCTCAAGCCAGGCTCATAGTGGGAAGATCGTCGCACTCTGGTCAGCTCCGGTTCCATGGTTTCCGTTTTCGTGCAGATGGGCAAGGTGACCCACAGTGACGCGAGCACGTCTGCAGAGTCTCCGCGCTCCACTGCTTCGACTGAGTTGCACGAGGAAGTTGAGGAGATATGCTCTTGCAACGTGGTCGTGAGGAGTACTTTTATTGACTTTGATGATGCAAGCATGGCTCGCTGCTACAGGAAGCTCCGGCGCTTCGTGACGGATAGCGTTCTGGTAGGAGTCTTGGATGTACCGGCAGTGTACGAGCCAGGCAAGTTCAGTGACCAGCAAGATGACGAAGCTCGAAGGCGCACTGCCAAAGCGGCAACGCAGGAAGCGCAGGGCAGGGTTGTGGTTGAAGAGCCCACAATCAAGCCTGCAGATGCCGGGCGTGATGCCCCTAAACAGAGTGTGCCAGCTGAGAGGACCACTGTGATGCTGCGCAATGTTCCCAACAACTACACTCGCGAGATGCTTCTCACTTTGCTTGATGAGCAAGGTCTGGCAGGGTGCTATGACTTTGTGTATCTGCCCTGCGACTTCTACCGTGCCGCAAATCTCGGCTATGCCTTTGTAAATATGGTGGATGGTATTTCCGTGGATGCTGTTTGGAAGGCGCTGGATGGGTTCTCGGAATGGTCGATGGCAACGAGCAAGGTCTGCCAAGTGGGCTGGAGTGGTCCACACCAAGGATTCAAAGCTCACGTAGATCGGTACCGAAACAGCCCAGTGATGCACAAGAGCGTTCCTGACGAGTACAAGCCTGTTATTTTGAAGGATGGCCGGCGCAAGTCCTTCCCTCGGCCGACCAAGAAGGTCAAAGCGCCTTCAGGCGCTTGCAAGTGAGCGCTGAGGTCGATGCTTCGCAGCCCATTTTTAGTGCAATTTTGAACCTGGAACCTGGTTGCATCTTCATCTCCAGCCAGTAGACCTTGAGCTTCCCAAGAGGAACATGTAGAGGCCATTGAACGTGTACAGGCAATCATGTGGTTGCGGCTGCGCTGCAAAGGCAGTGCCGGGGTTGGCGTAAGAGCACTTGTACAGCGGGTTCAGATGGCTGGCATTCATCAGCTGCTTGCCTGCCCAGGTCACGATCTTGTGAATGCAGTGAGAGAGCTGAAAGAATCGAACCGCAGTCCCGAAGCCCGACGCCGCCTTAGGCTGGTAGGCTGAAGGTGTGATGGAACCAGGCAGGTTTAGCAGGCAGTTCGGGTTGAAGTGGCCTCATGCTGGGTGCTTTCAGCGGCGCTGTACTCAGGACAGTCCGGAGAGTGGTTGCTTCACATGGGCTGAGCTTTCATGTCAGCCCATGTACAGTGCGGAGTTGCCATGTGTTTTTGAAGGGCCAAGATCTGCTTCTGGGCCCGGTGCGCCCCATGTTCCGGGCTTAGGATCTGCATCCAGACGCCCTCGCTGCTGTCCCAGGGCACGCGGAGCTGCTACCTGCGGGCGAAGAAGTCCGGCAACTGCGGGGGCAGCTTGATGTGGGACCGCTGGGCTCCTCGGCTCGGAGAGACGAGCTGTGAAGGACCCCAAGGGACTTGACCCCGGATGAAGAAACCCCAGTTTATTAGTATGGGGGTGTCCCTTTCTGGGTGAAACTTGTGGGGATTTGTCACTCTTGGAGGGGTTCCACCCCCGTAGTGATGAACTGGGGTTTATGAATCCAGGGTCAACATTAGAAGACCTGTTTGAACCGGAGGCAAGGCGGGAATTACAGGAGCTGCTTCTCCTACTTGTGCACCTAGATGCGTCGAATATGCACGGAAAACTTGCCTGCTCGTCGTCGTTCCTTCTTGAATGTTGAAAACGTCAACCCTCCCGGTGTAAGACGCGAGGTTTTGTGAGGATGGAGCAGGCGGAAGCCGAATGAATCACGAACATCCCTAACAGCACACATGTGTTTCATCATGCAACATCACGATCTTGCTTTTGCACATTTCACACTAGCGTTCTTCCATTTTTTTCTGATGCAAGAGTGCCTCAACCAGTTTCATGCTCCAGCTGCCCTCCTTACACATCTTCCAAAGACCTCGCTGCCAAGGACAGAAAGCGGTTCCGAGGCTACTTCCGGGGCACGTGCTCAGACCTGAGCAATGCTTCACTGGAGGTGCCTGGGGAGCGCCACTGGCCGCTTTTGTGCCTGGTTTATAGCGAGCTTGCCGCTCGGGGGTATAACAAGCTCACCATGGCAAAGAAGATGCTTTTGGGAATCCACAATTTTTAGCTTCTGGAAGTATAGTAAATGTGCAGATGGTCGCAAGGGAAAGCAGAATAAACATGTTTCACCACTGACAATCGCGCCCTGTTCATTTTCAAGCCCGGCTGCGCGACAGCCGGGCGAGTTTCCATGTTCCAAAACGAGACGAGGGCGGCTGCAGCCATGGGCTTGGAGAAAGCTCAGCGAATCAAATTTTCAGAGGACCAGCGGTTTAGAAATGGCTGTGGTTGTCAAAACAATGGGATCCCATTTTGGGGTAGGTGAATTCACCACCCATTTTAGAGCCTATTTTACTGGGATTGGGATGTTCACTGGGGGTACGGGATTTTGATCCATGGCCAAATGGGGCTCATTCAACTTGGTCTTGGTCTCAGCTCCGCGGCCATGTTCAACCTTGGATGGTTCAATGGAATGTGGATGACAGATCAGGTCTCTCAAAGAGAGCAAACTTTTACACGGCAACTTGGGTATGGGTCGAAATACAAGTCAAAACCACCAGAAAGCCGCAGGTTTGGGTCTTTGCTTCCATTTGCCGTTCCCTGTCGGGCACGCCTTTTTCACCACAGCCATTTATCTCCGAGAATATATATATATATATATATATATATATGTACATATATATATATATATGTATATATATATATATATATATATAAAAAACCGCCGCCGAATTCCGCCGGCGCTTAGCTGCCGTGAGGTGCGCCTGGACAGCTACGAGCGAGCCCGGGACCTCAAGGAGCTCCTGGGGGGCAGCAAGCCAGGCGCGGGCTGTTGGCGCGGGCGTCGGGAGGTCTGGAAAGAACTCGGGTGTCGTGTCTTTGTTTTCTTTTGGGTTGGGACTGGAAGGGAAATTTGAAATCAGAAGGACCGCCAAGTCTATGCTTTTTTTTTTTTTTTACGGTGTTTGTGTTTGAAGGGACACCAGAACAACGTTTTTTTTCTTCTTTTTTCCGGGGGGTGGGTGGGGTGGGGTGATTTATTGAATCACATCCATGAAGTTCGCTCTTCTTTTAAGGAATATGTTGAGACTGACAACATGTTGTCGGCTTTGATGCTTTATGTTTTTGCTTTGGTTGTGAAAGCCTCCGGGGATTGAGGGGAAAAACGCCTTGACCTTAGCGGAGTTTCTTCATGGATGGAATTTATGTGTAATACATGTGTAAGATGCGTGGACTACGCATGTTACGAAGTCTGCATGCAACACGTACGTCCTCTAATATGATGTGTTGTGATTTGCTGTATGAAGTGCCGTGTAATACACAATAACGCACTGCTTTGCGATGTGCTACAAGGTGACGTGATGCAAGGCAATGTAAGATCTATACGTGTGCATTTCGACCCGTCAACATGTATTTCAGCAGCTTATCGCTTCGAGCCTCATTGTCATTTCTGCCCGTGTTCAGCAGACGGCCTTTTCACCTGCCCATCTTCTTATCATACCGACCCTTAACTTGTACAGGGAAGAGCGAGTTTGCAGAATGCTCATGAGGTACCCCAAGAGAAGCCGCCGCATGCAAACCTATCGCATTGTGGGGGGTTCCAATTGAAAAGAAACCCACATCCCGGCAAGGGAATGCCGCAAGCTTCGTTGGCTTCGGAAAACCCATCAGAATGGACAAACCGGCGACCCATTTTGGGGGTAGCGGCACGAAATGACTTTTGGGATTTGATACTGTTGACGTCCCAAATCTCACGTGTTGCTGGTAGACCAGCCATATTGCGCGGCATCATTCTTGGGCTTAACCAAGTGTTGCCCGCATAAGCCAACATTCATGCGCCCAGCCCTAAGCATACATGGCTCAGGTCTTCTTAATGTTGAGCATTATGCTTGTCCTGAGCTGGTGAACTTCCTTGCGAGAGGCAAGGTATCTTGACCCTTAGGTCGCAGACCCCACGATCCAAACCTGTGCACAATGGATCGATTTGTCTGAAGCACGGCGGGTTTTGGCCCATCAAAAGCCCAACTCGACTCTTGTAAAAGACTGGGGCCTTGGACGGGCGCGCCTGGCTTAGGCTGGGTTACAGAGGATCATGGTGGTTTTGGGCTGAGCTTTGTTTGTTTTGTTTTTCGACACTTTGCGGCAACCCAGCCTTCCTGTTTGGACAAACCTTTGGCAACAATGTTTTTACCGCGGGGCAGTGGCGCGTCAGCGAGCAGGCGGCTCACGCTATCACATGCCCCTGGCAAACGCGGAGCTTCCCTTGCGGGGAGTGCTGGAGCATGGGGAGGTGAAGGCGGGGAAAGTGCAGCAAGCAATTGCAAGCCTTGAGCAATTGACCAGTTTTTTCTTTTGAGAATGTACTGCAACAGAACCAGCATATTGCTGTGATTTCATCTTTTACGCTGTTTCTTGGGGTATCAAAGTCAGCGACTGGGGCGGCTTTTCCCTTTGTACCATGCCACTTTTTCGGGTGACTTTGATGTTGTCGAGTTTGTTGGACCAGCATCTCAGTCTCCGCTGGATTTGCTGAGCAGAGATTGCGAGCGCTTGGTCCATAGGTGCCCTTTTTCGGTTGGAGAAATAGATGGGTTCCACTGGTTTACATGGGTTTTTGTTCAATTTTCCCGAGAAACCCATCTATTTTACCAAAAGGCCAGCTATGCCTTGGTGGGTTCGGCGCGCTTGGCGCGTCGCTGGGAAGCTGGGCGCACGCGAGGCCAGCCTGCGACCCGCCCCGTGGTTCTTCAGCTTGGCGGAGCCTTGGACCTGGAGCAGTTTCGGGGCGGGGGTTACGCAGGTCCAAGGGTTCCAAGGGGCCCAAACATGGGTTCCACTTTTCTGAGCCACAGCCAGTTGGGTGTGGGCAATCGGGTACTTTCTCAGCAACTAACATGGAATGCAAGAAGGCCAACCAACCAAGCAAAAAGTCGTCTTTCAAGAGGGAAGTAGTCTTTCTACAGGGGTCTGTGCACTTCCACGTTAGCTGGGAGGGAAGCCCCAAAATGGAACGGGAGATGGAAGTGAGGGCCAGAATCTGCGGTTCTCGTCTTAGATCTTTCGCTCGCTCGCTTTGCACCGAGCTCAGGACGGCGGGCGGGCGCATCGGCAGCGGTGTGGACTGCTGCAGGCGGGTCTCGAAAAACCGGGTGCTTGGCGACGTACTCGGGTCTGTCTACCTGGGCCCTCAAACTGCCCTTCCCAATGGCTTGCCCCAACATGGGGCGGTTTCCCTCGAAGGGCAGTCTGAGGGGGCCTACGTTACGTGAGCCTTGACCCCTCTGGGTACCAGTCGGGTTGTAGTCGGCCGTGAAATTGGATGCCTGGTTCGAGGGGTGGGACCTGGGCGCAGGAGGATGTCGCTTCCCAACACAAGTTCAGTCTCTTTTTTTTCTCCTCGAAGCCCGAAGCCCTGTCTCAGTCAATCCGTCAATAGAGTTGCTCCAGCGAATCGTTTTTTTTTTGTTGTCGCACAACTTGACGCCTTGGGATGCTTTGAAGTTTGGAGTCACCACCAGTCCGAACTTTGAGTTGGTTTGGAATTGCCTGGACATGGCCGTCTTGGGTTTGCCCGCTCTATGCCAGAAATCCGGCCGGAAATCGTGTCTTGAAACCTCAAGTGTTGCCTCCCTGGGACGCTTAGAAGTGTTCCTTCCAAGGCAGCTGCTAGGTTTCTGGATCAGCTCCGTCAATGCTGGTAACGCATGTAGTGTGTCACCCAGGCGTGTGATTAGATATTTGGATTGGGTTTCTTGAATAGCTTTAGCGTGACTATTCTGGATTCCCATGTGAGTTCCCAATTGGGGCCCGGTTTCGATGCTGGCGATTGTGTAGGTCCCAAAAGCACGACGCGTCCCTTCCTCAAGACGCTTTCAAGTTACTCACTACCGGAAGGCCAGGTGTGTCATAGTTTGACCAGAGTGGTCAGTCTCGCCCTTTGTCGAATGAGTTCCCAGCCTTTCGCCCTCCTCGAGTTGTTTTTTGTGGACCCCTCCCTCAGAGGCGGAAGGGGCGGGGGCAGAAACTTGTCCCTCGGAGTTGAGTCCAGGGGCACGTGGCTGTGGAGAACCGGCCTCGCTACCAACAGATGCTCGACCTTTGGAAGGTTGACTTTTGCTTGCTGGTTCGCCAGGCAGGGAATGACTTGGAATAACCCGAAAAAAGGCAAACATACGAACCCTTGTGGTTTCCTTTAAGGGAATCTTCTTCCGGTTCATTCCCAACACCTTGAATCATTCCCTACTGATCACAAGCAAGTTTGCGAGTGAAGGGGCCTTGCTTAAGTGTGGGCACTCCCTACATGGTCTCGCGTCCAAAAGAGGCAGAAGGTGAATCCTGGTTAGCTAAATCCTGACGTTGGGCTGGCAAAGCATGGTCGCCACATCTTGTGATGCCTGTTGTTGCAGGACACTTTGACCCTTGCGCATTGTCTTTTTGCAAACTTGGGGGATGCTTCAGAGAACTGGTATTTTAGTACCCCTTGCGGTTGAGTAGCAGAAAATACTAGAAGTGTCTCAGGGCTCCCTCGTCTTCTGTGACTCGTGATAGACAGAAGGATGTTGCAATGCCCGGCTGTGTTCTGTATTAGATGAACAGAACGATCCCTCCACCCCGTGGCAACAGGCCGAGCTTCTGGAACCTCCCACAGTTCCATTCGCTCTTCTGAGGCAGACTATCGCTACAATCATTCGCCACTGCCTAAAGATATGTCAACTGCAGATCCAGCACAACTGTTCTTATCAAATGTTGATGGCTTTGGACAGCCACGTGGTCAAGCGCTCTGTCAACCGCTTTATCCTCGCAGCCGGCGTTGTTTTCAGAGATGGGCGTTCTCCCCCGTTCCCAGGATGAACTTGACACATAGGCAAAAGAAGGCTGTGGGGTTGCGAGATCGCCATTCATGAAGAAGACCCTTCTGCGCTCTTTCCGATTTTCTCGACACCATCCGTCAGAAAAGAAAACGCCACCGTGGCGTGCGAATTTTTCTTTCTCCTGCACTGCCTACCTGAGACGTCCCCCAAGCTGGTGTCTAAACATGTTCCTATCCCTGACATGCCCTAGGGAAATGACACAATACCTCATAAACTGAAATAGCCAGGCTTAATCTGGAAATCGTAATCCCAGGGTGGAATAGGAAAAGGTTTGTGGAACCCCAGAAAGCCCCTGGAAAAAACCCGCTTAGGACGGACGATGTCTCGGATGAGCTGGACCTCCGGAAGAGATACCTCTTCGTGAAGGTCATCAAAGTGGCGGCTCGCACAACCGGCTTCGTTCGGTCGCTCCGGGACGGCCGAAGGAAATGGATCGGTCGCACCCGGCTTCGTGCGCTCGCGCTGCGGCTGGGGACGTGACATTTTTGGGGCCGGAAAGGGGGGGGAAGCACATTTGGACACGGAATATACCCTATTTCTAATGTTGTTCCAGATGTGTAGGGGGGCACGGTAGTTACGAGGGGGAACGCATCAGGAGGAAGCCCCAACTGAGAAGTCAACATTGCTCGGTCGCTGCTTGAGGGCGCATTAGGACCTTTGAGATCGCTCAGTATTTCTTCCCTCGCAAGGCACGGTCTGTCAAAGTGAAGAGCACCTTTGCATCATATTGTCTCTGACAATATACCTTGAGCAGCGCTGGCCATGTAGGTGGTTCTAGCTGGTTTCACGTGGGTTAGAGTCAGGGCTATACAAACCTGTATAATTAGCCATGTAGAACCAAGCGTCAGCTTCGCTTACCAAGCCCTTTTGGCCTTGAGACCAACTAGTCTTGCTTGCAGAGGGCGATGCTGTCCGCTGTCCAGCAGGGGTCACTGGATTTCCCCAAGTCAAAAGTTGATCAACGGTGGTTTCCACTAAAACGATCGCCACTTTCGGAGGCTCCAAGAAGGGGAATGCAGGAAAGCCTGACCAGCTCAGAAATTCTTTGAACAACATGCGGAGCAGTGTTCATGGACGTCCGTGTTTGCCGCTGCAGGAAATGGACATGTGAAATAAACTCAAACCCGGACATGCACATGAAAACAAGCGTCCGTGGGGGTATCCCGGATTGATTTGCTCAGCACACAGTCAAATTTTGCCGCCATCCTGGCGTTTCGAGGACCGAGTGGTGACACCCGACACCCGTCCCACGGACGAGATCGACACCTTTGTCGAGGCCGGGCGCCTCCGGGCCGCTCGAGAGAAGTTCGCCGGGTAGACTGCAATGGACATTCGGGTTCCACTACCACTACTAGAACCCCTACCTCCACCGCTGCTACGACTATCACCACTACTACTACTACTACTACTACTACTACTACTACTACCACCACCACTACTGTTACTACTACTACTACTACTAGAACTAGTACTAGAACTAGTATTAGTACTAGTACTACCACTAGTGGCACTGCGCCTTGATCCATGGCCCTGCCTTTCGGGCCTTGATTTCTCACTTTTCACCTCTTTGATCTCCGGCCGGGAGGGTCTGGATGTATCGACGCGGAGCTGGGGGAATCCAAGTTTCCACTTAAATGGGGAGCCACGGAGCTCTCAGTTCTGGTTGGGACATGGTCGTTTCGCGGCTTGGCATTTGCCGTTGGGTATGAAGGGATCTAGGATGGGGTGTCAGCAGCTTTGATATTTGAAGACCTACCCCTTTTTCCCTTTTGACAGTTTTTGAAGGCAGAAAGGGCGTTTTCAATCTAGGGTCGTTTGGCTGGAGCACGAGATGGATCTTGAAGGCGTACTGTACCTTGTGACACTGCAAATGGCCTCTCACGCAGCAATGGCCAAAGAAGACGCAACCAATGAGCGACCAAAAAACGCCAGGCACGAACCAAGCACAATGCAATGAATCCACCGCGCCCAAACCAGCGACCCACCTGTTCCCAGAAACCAGGGATTGAGCAAAAAGAAAATCCAGCGGCCGAGGTCACCTTCGATGGTGTGGCGAAGCGGACTCGCATTTGCCAGGAGGGGTTGGGGTTCGGCCAATCAGATCCACCGCTTGGCTTGCTGGTGCGATAGGAGGGTTTTGGGAATGAACCTAGGGATTCAATAGGGGATGTTTTGGGAGGCGTCCCCTCATTGCCTGCTGAGAACCAGCAAGTTGGAGGGGAACTTGGGAAGCCTGTAGGTTGATGGTTTCGAATGGGTTCGAAAGCACATGCTGTGCATTTCTGCAGGGCTGGTGTTTGCAGTCAGAGATCGTTGTGTGAGCCTGATTCATTCCACGGTTCGGGGATTTTGTCGCGTGTGTCCCTCTGCTTCTTTGTACCGTTTGCACTTTGGCGGGCACTGTTTAGCGTCTTTCCCATCAGTGAAATCATTTGGAGACACCAACCCCAAAGCAGTACATACCATAACTCGTGAGGACATACCTTTCTTCACATCAGGTCTATAGAATGGCAAAACTTCAAACCGAGACCATCGACCCAGCAGCTTTTCACGACTGTTTCCGTTTCCGCCCCTTGGCTTCAGGAGTGTGTGCGTGTGTGTGTGTGTGTCTGTGTGTGTGTGTGTGAGTGAGTGAGTGAGTGAGTGAGTGAGTGAGTGAGTGAGTGAGTGAGTGAGTGAGTGAGTGAGTGAGTGAGTGAGTGAGTGAGTGAGTGAGTGAGTGAGTGAGAGTGAGAGTGAGTGAGTGAGTGAGTGAGTGAGTGAGTGAGTGAGTGAGTGAGTGAGTGAGTGAGTGAGTGAGTGTCTTTGAGGGTACCCTTTGTCTGAAAGCTAAGGGGTTTCAGCCCAGATAAGGTTTGGGGGGAGCTCTGGAGTCAGGTTCGAGCAGGGTTCCAAAGGTTCGGGGCTGGCTGGTGCAGGACGGGTGTAAAGTTCAAGGAAGGAGGTTCCGGGGTGGTCTGGTGCCGGCCAGTGGAGGTTCCGGGAGGTTGCGGGAGGTTTTGGAGGGGTGGTCTGGTGCACTACTTGAAATATTCAAAATGTTTCCGGGTGGCAGGCCGGAGGTTCTGGGATGGTCTGGTGCCGGTGAGTGAGCACGATTCCGGTCCAGGCCAGGTGTAAGGTTCCCAACAGCTCAAAGCTTTGAGGTGTCAGCCCAGATGGGCTTCAGTGAGGCAAGGTTCCGCAGGGTTCCGCGAGAATTTCGCCGGGGCCCGCTTGCATTGAATGCACCTTTGGTGCATTTTGCTTGGCTGTTAGGACTTTAATTTTTTGCCAACTAATGGGTTTTCCACTAAACCACTAAAAGTTAAACTTTTAGCAGGGAGCAGAAAGCAACCGATGCACGTGCGGGCCGAAACAAAGCGCCGCATGCTGTTGGGGATGTCGCCTGAGCTTACTAAGGTTGTGGCTAAAGGGAATGCGTCATTCTGTGGCACTCCATCTTGACACATCCCCAGGACGACGTGTCGCCCAGCTTTAACGATGACCTGGTCTTTGAGCTGGCCCTCGCCAAGACCAGCAGCAGCAACGAGATGCAGGCGGATCGCGGTGCTCACGGCCGGAAAGGCTTTCGGCTAAAAGCGGGGGGTGTTTGGAGGGGGGGCGGCAGAAATGGCAACGGATTCTTCCTGGTTTCTTTGTTGAAAGACACTTTGGCTTTGGCTCAAATTGAGTCTCAACCCTTTGTTTTCCGGATTTTGGGCGTGGACGCTTGCAGCTGTCATGGTTTTGGGCGCTTTGTGCGTTTTGGTGCTCTGTGCGGAACCTTGGATGGTTCCAACAAGTACCTTTGCCGCTCTTCGCTTTTCAATTTGGCTGGTTCTCAAGCCCAAGCAAGCGATCAGAGCACGGCCTCGACTTTCGCAGAGATCAATGAGGCAACGAAATCTCTTACGCAAGGAACAGCACACGCTTTACCTCATCCAAGAACATGGATCTGTCATTTGGCCATGGG